ATGTATATTCATGTGTCTCCAATAGTACCCCAAATGGATTCATATACACTTTCTTTCTTACATTTCTGGTTCTTCTTAGTAAGAACATAAGACATAATCATAAGGAAATGGGAGACTGTGGATTTTGGTTGCTGTAAATAGCTGACCTTGCAAGGAAATCCGTTGCTATCATTTTGTAGATGCTTATTTTATATTTCCCTAACTGTGTGACTTGTGGTGTTTAGGATACACTTACTGGATGTTACTTTAGTGAGGTGTTGGGTTGTGCTTAATGTTTCCTGTAGATAAAGCCCTCAGAAGCTGAAACTTCCTCTAGTATACCCTTGTTTTGTCTTCTCTTTTGGCTTTGACTTTCTCTATACTTCCTTTTAAATAATACCTCAAATATGCATAAAAGTAATATTGCTAATCCTATCCCTGCATTGTCAGATATTTTCTATGTCTCTGCAGTCTGAAAACCTCAACAGAATTATTTATTTATTTGTTTGTTTGTTTGTTTATTTATTTTTAATGTATGGCTATTTTGTCAGCATGTATGTCTATGAACCACTTGCAATCCCAATCCTGCAGAGGCCAGAGAAGGATGTTGGATCCACTGAAACTGGTGTTCCAGAGGGTTGTATGCTGCCATATAGGTGCTGAAAATTGAACCTGGCTCCGCTGAAAGAGTATCCCATGGTCTTAACCACTGAGCCATCTCTCCTGAGAACCCCTGGTACACACAGTCATCGTTTTGTTTTGTTTGTTTGTTTGTTTTGTAAAAGCAGGAATGTTTAGGGGCTCCAAAGAGCCACAGGTATTCTAGGAATATCTCATTTTGCTTATCAGCTTTCTGATGCTTGTGAAAATTAATGTGTACGCGTACTTGTTATAAAACAAATGCTGGGTCCACCGGCCTCAATGCTAGGATTCACCAGAGACCCAAAGTGAGCCACTCTGTTGTATTGGTGATGTTTGTTATTTTTGTGACAAAATAATTGACCAAGAGCAAGGAAGGTTTCATTTGGGCTATGATTTCAGAAGAGATGAAGTCTACCGTGGGGAGGAAGGTGTGGCAATGGTAGCATGAAACATCTGATCACATTGAGGCCAGAAGCCCCAATCAGCTCATCAAAGGCTGGCTGTCCATAGTCAGGATGGCTCTTCCTCCCTCAGTGAAATATCTCTGGAAACACTCTCACAGACATTTTCAGAGGCATTTTGTAAGTTGACAGTGAAGATTAACCATCACACCACCCTAATAATATGCCAACTAAAGAAAGAAGTAATATAGTAGTTTAAATCAGAGTAGAGATGCACTCAATGGGCCTCAGTAGGGGAAACAAAAGGCTCCAGTGGTTCCAAATTGGTCTTTGGAGAACTAGCATTAGCTTTAGACTTAAACCTAAGAAAACTAAGGTTAAGGAGTGAAAACCAGGTATGAAGGAGTCCTGGTCAAGGTGTGGACTAGGTGATCATCACCTCAGCTCTCATTGAGGAAATTGGCTCTTAGAAGTCAATGATTCCCGAGGATAGCTCTCCGGTTTCCCTAAGATGATTATTACTAGTCCAATAGAGTGCTTTGCCTTTGATATTAGCCTTTGTAGGTGTTTGCCTGAACTTGAGGGGTGATCTGTTCTGTGACACAATTCATTGGAAACTGTTTTTGTCCTTTGTCATAAATGTAGTTATGGACTGATATTGCTCCTGGAATTCAATGTGAATTTAGGTTCCTCCTGTGGTCTGAAATAGAACGGTGTAAAGGCTGACAGTAAAATGCCTAAAAGAGACAAAAACAAAATGTGGGCTTTGGGGCTCAAATGATGAGTCCATGGTTTCTTTTTCAAAAGCAGTTTCTATGTGTCTGCTATACTCCTACAAGTTTGAGCCTCCAGTGGATTCTGCCTGAGGTAAACCAATCTCTGCTCAGGTTCTCTGTATTTGCCTACATTTTGCGTTGTTTTGATAATTCTATACAGTTAAAACCCTCACTTGGAAATAATATGCTCATTCCACCATTCTCAAACTCTCTATGTAAGTCAGAACTCATTTGCTTGATTTCAGAATACACAAATATTAACTGAGAACTATTACATATTTATGTCAAAACATAAAATGTTTTATTTTATTATTTTTTATTATTGGTGTGTGTGTGTGTGTGTGTGTGTGTGTGTGTGTGTGTGTGTGTGTGTGTGTGTCTGTATTAGATCCCATGATCTGGAATTACACATGGTTGTGTGTCACTGAAATGGATGCTGAGGATCAAACTTGGATCCTATGGAAAAGCAGTATATACTCCTGATTGCTGAGCCATCTCTCCAGACCCTGTATGTCATATCTCATCTCTTATGATTAATGACCAGTTGCAATTTTAGACATGCAAGTAACTCTTAGAGAATATAAAATATTAGGTCCTCTGTTAAGCTCTGGATGCTATGAACCCTAAAGCATTCAACTCAGCTTTTCCAATCCATTTTCTTAATTGATTACAAACTTTTACTGAATACTAGGCAAATCTTCTGCAGCTTTCACTGTATATACATGTTTAAAGGTAGAAGAAAAAAGGGACTAGACAGTCGGAAATTTGCACCCTTATCCTCTGAGCCATCTCCTTGTCCCACCACACTTTCTTGATCAGGCCTGGCAGAATGGCTGGAATTAAATGAAACAATAAAGCCCCAGCTCCTTAGACATTCCTCATTCCTTCCATGATGTCAATTAGCCTTTGGTCTGAGTTTAGTCTTTTTTCCCTGATTTCCTGGTAAGGAGTTTGCATGCACCATATCATGTGATATCTAATAGATAACGTAATATACTATAATGCATTATATAATGTATATGTAAGTATAATTATATACAAACAAAATGTGTGGATAGTGCATATTTTTGGAGGTAGAAGAAATACAATTTTTTTACATGACCCCTTAAATTAACCAGAGAATGAGGAAATAATGAAGAAGGGAAGTGGTTAGAATTGTGAAGGACAACTATATATAACGATGTTGCAGAGAGACTAGAAATGTAGCTGACCCCCGTCTAGCGAGTCCTCATAAAAATAGAGAGTTGGAAAGCAGGTGTCATAATTTGTGGCTTCTTAAGTGTGATTTTTAAGATCTTGTAGTATTAGTGGGTTATCTACATTTAACACTACAGAAAGATTTTTTTTTTCTGAGACAGGATCTCAATAGATGCCTAGTGGACCTCAAATTCCACATCCCCCTTTCTCAGTCTCCTGAATGCTAGGGTCAAAGGGCTGCATCTCCATTCCTGGGTAGGATGTGATTCATAGGCCCCATGCCCTATAATCAGATTTATTAACAAATAATAGTAAAGGAAAATGAGTGAGATCTTGTGTCAGTTTGCAGCTCTTCTTTCTTTAAAATTTTATGAGAACCTTCCACCATGTGGTTATGAAATAGCATAATAGCCTTGGTGCTAGTTCATTGTGGATGGATTTATGATTATATTTTTTATTTAAAGCTTCATGGCTAGAAATTATATGCCCCTTTTAAATACTTATTATTTTCCTTTTAATTAAAAGAGATGTGATGCTAGGGATTGAACCAGGGCACTTTGGTTAATACTACACAAGTACTCTACCACTGAGCTATACCCTGACCACTCTCAGCCTTTTATTAACTACCTTAGGAATGGGTTTACCATACTGTTATTATAAACAGTATTACTAGTACATTATCACTTGCATTTCCCAAATGCTTTGCTCTTATGATCTTTCTACCACATATTGTCATCTGATAGTTGGGTACCTTTTAGACTTACTGATTTGATCCTTCCTTTGTTAAGAAACATGATTCCTACAATTCTTCCTCCTCCTTTTCTGCAGGTTTCCAAGTTCCCAGGGGAGGGACTCAATGGAGATCTTTTATTTGGGATCTCTCTCGGCCTTGTGGTTTGACTGAGGGTTTCTTCATCTGCTCCAATCAGCTTCCAGAAGAAGCCGGTAAGGATGATGGTGCACTGAAGCAGCTAAGCAGGGCTCATAGGGGCTCACAGAGATGGAAGTGGCAATCAGGGACCCTGCATGGATCTGGGCTACATCCTTAGCATCTATATTATAGTTGTTAACTCGGTGTTTTGGGCGACTCGTGGGAGTGGGAATGGGGTGTCTCTGATTCTTTCACCTGCTCTTGGGACCCTTTTCCTTCTACTGGGTTGTCTCACCCAGCCTTGATGTGAGGTTTTGTGCCTACTCTTACTGTAACTTGTTATGTTGTGTTCAGTTGACATCCCTAGGAGGTCTGCTCTTTATTGAAGGGGAGGAGAGGAGCAGTAGATCTGGGGGAGACAGGCGCCAGTAGGGGGCTGGGAGGAGTAGAGGGGGGGAGACTGCCACAGGGATGTAATGTATGAGAGAAGAATAATTTTTTTTTAAAAAAAGAAGAAGTATGATTCCTTCTGTTTGGAGCACCAAGTATTGCTTGTGGAAAATTATCTATCTCTGTTCAGAAGTATTAGTTATAAAAGCTTAACCATGCAATATTGAATGTTTAAGTGTGTCATCCTTGAACTTGTGGAATGTGAGTGAATGAATAAAACAAAACGTACAAACCTCTGACCACACGTCAGAAGGTAAAGGGTTTTCCTTTCCATTGAGCTGGTGCTTAAGCTTCCCTTAGTCCAATGTGCTCCAAGATAATAAAGAAAACGACACCGCTGAACCATCGAGCAGCAGCATTGCTGATTTCCACTGTTAAGTGCCGTAGCCTTTCCTTATGTCTTGTTTCATGCTTTGGCTTTGCTCTCTCCTATAAAGACCAGGAGAAAAGCATGACAGAAAACAAAATGTGGTTTCTTCTCTCAGCACTGTATGACTGTAAGAAGATCTGATGGGAAGTAAAGGATTTGGGAGAAATCATACATAACTTGTACACCAGGAATGACTGGTGTGGGGTTAAGTTTGCACCCTGCTCTGAAATTCTTGCTCTTTTTTTTAACTTCTCTTTTTTTCTTTTTACAATGTCCTGTGAGGAAAGAGGAATGAGTTATCTGACAAATTTAGAATGTGCAAACTTGCGCATTGATGAAACAGCTATTGAAATACATTTCAAAGTAAGATTTTTCAACACACAACTGTGTCATTTCCTTTCCAGATGCTGACATACTATGTGATAAAGATTTTAGGTTTCAATTGTAAAGAGGGGGAAGTGGATAAATCAGTGCTGCCTCCTTTACCAGCAATGACAAAAGAGGTAAGTTTTAATCTATTTTTTCTAAAATTACTTGTATTGAGTGTGTGAGTCTACTCTGCGTACGTGTGAGTGTGTGAGGGGGGAGAGAGAGAGAGAGAGAGAGAGAGAGGAGAGAGAGAGAGGAGAGAGAGAGAGAGAGAGAGAGAGAGAGAGGAGAGAGAGAGAGAGGAGAGAGAGAGAGAGGAGAGAGAGAGAGGTATTTGATTAGTAATTTCTAGTAGAACCCTTATTCTACCACTAATAGTTTGGTTTTGTTGTTTAACAGGTAAAATAATAGTAAAGATTCCAGCCAAGGTGTTCATTAATGAAAACATAATAAATATGCATGAAATGAACTAGTTTATAGTCGGTTTAACAAGGAACTATGTGTTTTTTGTTAAAACTTGTTGGCTTCATTCAAAGTATGTTAAATAAATTAGTTTGTACCTTTCTCTTCATATGACATTTTTGGCTTTAACCTGATGGTTGTATTAATCTTCCTTACTCATAGAGTGAATATTGGTTGAGTCTCTTCTGCAGATAATTTTTGAATTACATATGAGGAAGGGATACAAAGAAAAAATTACGTTTAATTTTATAAGAAATTCTTAATATAAAGCTTATGGGCAAGCAGAACTAGTATAACTTGGGCATCCTACACAGAATAAAATTGCTATAGGAGGCCAGCCTGGTCTCCAAAGCGAGTTCCAGGAAAGGCGCAAAGCTACACAGAGAAACCCTGTCTCAAACCCCCCCCCAAAAAAAAATTGCTATAGATAACTACTATATGCAGGGAAAGGGCTATTACTTTAAAGGGAGAAAGAACTATAAAAACATCTTCGTGGAGATGTTACAATTTAGGGTGATATTGATGGATGAATAAGACTTACACAGCATAAAATCGGGCTGGTGTTGTCGCTGGCCGTGTGGAACTGTGGCAGAATAGTCACAGAGCTGAAATGATGGATGTTTTGTGTAGTAGCTGAGAGCTCACCTTGTATAAGCACACTGCCTGTTTGCTTTGAAATCCACCATCTTCCCTTCCACCTATACAACATTGAGTAAATTCCTAAGCCATTTATGTCTTAGTGTCCTAAGATGCAAAATAGAGAAAATCTGACTATATACCTCACAGAGCTGCCTTGAAGCTAAAATAAGTAAAGCTCATATGGTAATACAGAATTGTAAAATAGTTCTGATTCATTTTTTGGTAGCTTTCTGCATATGAGGCAAGTTTAAAATGATCTTAGTCTTCATAGTATTCCTTTACATTGATAGTATATTAATACTTTACATATATGAAATTATAATTCAAAACTGTTAAAATATTTGCTTGCTTTCTTTAAAATCATATACCTAAAAGAATGGCACATGCATTTTTCTATTTAGCATGCTTGTTAATACTTTATTATTTATTTATATGTTTTTTATTTTTTGAGAATTTTATGGACTATATCTTCATCACATTTTTCTCAGTCACTTTTTGGTCTTAGATTCGAACATTGATACTCGTTCTGTTTCCAAGGATGGTTGTCACTACCATAAGGCACAATATGGTTCAGTCTCTAGCAGGAATCCTTTTACACTCATTTCTTCAGCATGGAAACAATGATTGCACAAATGTACTAATTTTAAAAATGATACAAACTGTCAGCTGCATATATAAAGAAATAAGGCTTTTATTTTAAAAGAATAAAGAAGATTACACCGGAGCAATTTACCCCAATGTTCAAAATAATTTGACTGTAAGAAAACCAGAGCAAATACATGTAGAGATTTATCTCAGAAGAAATGATACATAGGAAATATGAAAAAACAAGTGGTGGGATGCACGACCACCGGCCCGTGATCCAGCTGTTTGGAATGCCAAGGCAGTCAGACAACAAGCTCCAGATATGCCTGGGCTACAGAGTGTATTCAAGCCCAGTGTGGGCAATTTAGTGGGATCTTGTCTCAAAATGGAAAGTATGAGAGTGATGGGGGTATAGTCCATCTGTAGTACCTTTGTTGAGCAGGCAATTGTTCACAAGTCTAATGCTAGTACAAAGACAACAACAACAACAAATTATTAATGGATGATAGACACAAATCCCTTACTTAGTTACATACAGGTATAAGAAAGCAATCCTGTATTGTACAAGCAATGGATATGAACAGACAATATCCAAAGTGTACAATAAACAAAAAATAATGGCATGGAAATATTTTACAATAATTATAAACATGAAAACAAAGGTGTCTTAAAATAACACAACTCATGTTAATAGCTAAGCAATTGTATGGTGATGAATTTGGTTTAAAATCTTGACACTTACATGTTACTCAAATATATATGTGTTTTATACCATCTTTTTAAAGAAAGGTAGATACCATAAGTTCACAATAGTTTTCACTTAGTCTAGTAGTTCAACAGAAAAGTATCAAAAGAATAAGACTAGCCGGGTGGTGGTGGCACATGCCTTTAATCCCAGCACTCGGGAGGCAGAGGCAGGCGGATCTTTGTGAGTTCGAGGCCAGCCTGGTCTACAGAGCGAGCTCCAGGACAGGCTCCAAAGCTACACAGAGAAACCCTGTCTCGAAAAACCAAAATAAATAAATAAATAAATAAGACTAATTAACCACTATGACATAATCATTATTTATATTAGTAGAATCATGAACTCCAGAAATGGGGGAGGGGTTATAAGAAAATGACTATAGAAATAGATACTCATGTTTGATCAAATATCATATAGTTCATTATTTTAAATTTGGAAAAAAATCAAAGAAGGACAAAAACATGACTTGTTTTACAAATCAATATGCACATTGACATGTCCACTGTATATATCCAGACATATGCACAAAGACTAAAATGTCCTGTGATGCATGATGGCACTTTATTGTATTAAAATGATAGGTTGGTAGACGCTGAATTCTACCTCAGCTTTCATGTCCCTCCGTTGTTTAATGATCAAATGGGAAAAAGTGAAGGCTGTGGTTCGTGCTAACCTCAGAGTTCTTTCATATGGCTTTCCTGTTGCTACGTCCAGGAACTTTTGACCCTGTATAAAAAGCTGATATGGCAGAGATGTGTTTCGCTTCTCATGAGAACACTCTGCTAATAGATTATCCACGCTCCAAGAATTTCCCAATCCTTTATCAGTGCACTGGCCTGTGGTGGGAAAAAGGCACTTTATGTGAAGTTGTTTGTCCCTTAACTTGGAAATTACGTCTAAGGTCACAGGAAAATGCTGTAGAACTGTTCACAGATTGCTAATAAGGTCTCACCTGTGCATGTATTCTAACATTTGCAAGGTTGTTGTAGTAATTATTAGATGAAAATTGAAATTACTTGATAAATTTAATAATACATTCCTTTGGGTAAAATGAGATGTACCAGTAATATCTTTCATATCAATTAACTAACTTCATGCATGTCAGAAAGAAACATTTTCCAGTGCAAAACAGAAATTTCTTTTTTTTTAATTAAGAACATTTTTATTCATTTCACATACCAACCACAGATCCCTCTCTTCCCTCCTCCTGCCCCCCAGCCTTCCCTCCCAACGGACCCCACATTCCCTCCTCAGAGAAGGTAAGGCCTCCCATGGAGAGTCAGCAAAGCCTGGTACATTGAATTGAGTCAGGTCCAAGACCCTCGCCCTGCATCAAGGCAGAAATTTCAAATTCTACATTTGTGAAATATGAACTTTCCTTGAGGTACAAGCAGATCCATGTAGCACAATCATCCTGAAAAAACATTTTGTCTTTTTTTGTGTGTGTCATTTTTCACTTTCACTTTTTTAAAATCTTCATTTTATGGCTCTGGGGATCAAGCTGGGATCCTTGCATCTGACAGGCAAGCACTGACATCATCAGGGGAGGAAGTAGGGAGAGACACAAGGACAAGAGCTACGCCCTGGCATTCTCGCTTCAAGGTATAGGGGAAGACACACAGTACACCTGTTACCTCAGGAGTCTGAGGGAGGAAGGTTGCATTGCAAACTGTTCACCTAGTGACACACTGTCTCAACACAAAATCAAAATCAAACAGAAAATAGTCAAAGGTTTGTCTGTGTCTGGAAGTGTGGGATCCTTCTCCTTTACTCAGCCACTAATCAAACTTGTTTTCAAGTTTATGTTTCTCTGTTTTTTTTTCTGATGAAGTATTCTCTATATGCCTGTTTCTCACCCCCTACCAAGACCCTTTAAAGAGCTTAAAACTATAGGGAGTAAATTGAGAGAAATCTCCTAATACGTGATGAATCTTTATTGATGCTGGAGCTCATAAAGATGTTTTTTGTCGTGAATGTGAGTGTTTATTAAAGGCATCCCAGCAGTAGATTGCTGAAAGCAGACGTTGCCCACAGTGATAAAATCCCTACATCTACATTCAGAGTCGGTGTTCATAATGGACATAGAACTGTGGGTGTTGACGAGAATACTGTTTTTGGAAAAACACAAGGATGAGGATTGGGAGTGTTAGAAGCTGCTGTCCTCCCGGCCATGCTGCTACCATTTTCATGAGATCAACTGTGCCTTCTTGTGAGACTCTGTCACCATTGAGCCTGCGGACTGTTGACATTCTCTCTCCAAAGTGTGAATGAGGGAGCAGGGAGGACCACTGGACATTTACCAGAGTATCTGGCCACTCTTCCAGCCATTCGTATATAGTTACTTTCTAATGGCAAGTGGTCTTATAAACCCAGGGAGAGGCTAAGGCATATGGGCTGGGAACTAGTATGGAAAGGAGGCTTCATCTATGAAAACATGGGAAAGCCATCATCCATAGACTTTTCAGAGGGGCTGCACTGAAGTCAGCCATGCTTCTGTCAACAGCCCATAGCCATGCTCTTTAAGGAAGTCAAGCACATTCATTGTTCCTAGAGTGAACTGTGTTGTGCTGGAATCATATTTTAGTTTATCACTGGGATCTAAAAAGAGGGGATAGATATTGTTTCTATATCCCCTACAAGAAATTTTAGCAGTTGGGAATATTGCTGCAAGAGAATCAGAGATTCAGTGATTCAAGAGCTATTATCGAAGTTTAGAGGGTAAAAACCAGGTTAGATAAACATCCTATCACACTAACTGCCCTACACCCACATCGTCCTGCCCCAAATCTAGTAATGTGTTCCTGAAAATGCCAGTAGGATGTGGTTAAGTAGCCAGTTGAGACTTATGAAACCAAAGGGGTCATACAAGGACCAGGGCAGAGGCAGTCTGTGTTCCTAAGCCCTAAGGGACAAGCCTGGTTCTGGCTCCCAAAGCAAGCAACAGAAAATATACAAAAAGAGGAAAATGAACTCCAATTTACCCAAAGTGTTTCAGTCTGGCTCCATCTTCCCCCAATTGTTCTAACTTGTGGAAAAGCTGAGGCAAAATTTGGGAAATATGCAGCTTGATTTTGATGGAAGCTCAGGCTGTCAAAGCCAGAAGAAAATAAGCCTTTCTCAGAGTGCCAAGAGCAATATGAATTTTTAAGTCATGCAAGGTATTTCCTATAAGGAGCTGGATATTAAAAAAATAAATAAAAACACAATGAAATACTAAGTTCTGTGGAGCCTGTTACATTAATACAGGGTCAGGGCTGCTACCAAAAGACTCTGGATGCCAAGTAAACGGCCCCCTCCAGAATCTGAGTCACAAAAATTGTGAAGAATTTCTGTCTCCAAAAGAACTCACCTCTGCAGTTCCCTGGTTTTCTAAATATCCATTTCACTTGGTAAACAAATACATGTGATTAAAGTTTTACAAAGTCTAGCACAAATTATGCACTCAACAATTATAAAGTATATTCAAAGTTCTAGGTTGTCTTAAGTTCTGGCGATACAATGTTGGACAAAAACAGACGTGGATCTCCCAGCCCATAGCTTACACTCCAAACATAATTTTTTCAGGTACAAATGTCTTCATCTTTGTTCATAAACATTCCTCCATAGAGAATAGAGCAGATGAATTGTAAAGTTTTCTTCGCATTTTAGTGAAAATGAACTCAGAATATCTCAACAGGCCCACTAAATCCTTCTTTACTCTTTTGGAGACAGACCAGGAACATCCAGTAACAACATGGTTTCATTAACAGTGTGTAAACAAGGGTTTTTCCACCCTGTTCTTTACCATCTGAGCTCATAGTCCAACATTTTCCTACTTGGCCACAATTGCTGTGAATGTGACTTTAACGTGATTATAGAGACGTTTCATTATTAACTCTTTTTGTTTGTTTGTTTGTTTACTTGCTCATTTGTTCTGCTTGATGAGTGAAATCATTGTCCACATAGATTAAAAGTCAGGAAACAGAAGGAAAGCCTTGATCAGAGGGTCCAAACCGGCTTCCTCCAAAGTCAGTTTCCCAGGTTATATGTTATTCACTGACTTAATTACTTAAGAGCTTCCATTTGCCTATCTTGTGAGACAGTTCTACAGTGTGGCCCAGGCTGGCCTTAATTCTGCACACCCCTCCTCCCCCTTGGCACTGCCTCCCGAGTGCCAGGATTGTAGGAAAATGGTGAGACTGTAGCCATGTGCCACTGTGCCTTGAAGTTGGCATTTTTATCTCTTTGTGATGGAGCACTTGCAAGGCTATCTTTTTCAGCTTCAGCCTCTATAACAGATGAGAACAAAAGTACTTGCAATACAGGTCTGCTTGGTTTATTGGGCTTTTTCTTCCTCTTTCAATTTTGCCTTACGGAGCAGGGAGGGGAAGCAGATTCAGGTCCTCATTCAGGTCCTACCCCTACATTCTTTTATTCCCTTGTCCCAGTGGCCAAATTCTGTAAAGATCACAATCCTCAGACCAAACAACCCAAGACTTGTGTGGAAAACGATTCTCAGAAATGATCAACATGCAGAGATTGTCACTGTGAGTGGCCAGATAAATGATTTCCTTGGCCATATTCTCGAAGTCTATTGACAGGAATTTAGTCACATCCTTGCTCTATCTCCAAAGCAGGACGAGTCTTGAGAAATGAGTGATGGTCCTCCATTCCCATCCCGGGCTAGAGTTTTGTTTCCTGACATTGCCATGAGTTCAGTTAAAATTTCAGAACTAAACACATCCCTCAGCATCGGGGCATGGAGCGGGGGGATAAAGAAGGATTCGAAGATACCGGATTCTTGGTAAACTAGTCATCGCACCTGAACCGTGACCAGCACAACAGTTAATCTGTTCATCTTCTCAGACAATGTTCTTAAATTGCAGACCATTCTACCCTACGCAGCGCCATTTCTTGAATGTGTGTTTGAATCTGAAGTTATTGTGTTAGTTTATTATGTTCTATTACATATTACATTTTACTTATTTTCAAGTATAATTTCAAAAGCCTGGGATGTAGTTTAATGTTAAAAAGCCTATAGCATGAAAGCTTGGCTGAGATCTTGGTTTTAATGACTAACACTACAGTGGAAAGAAAAAAGGAGAGAGGAAGAGAGAAAACCTTGTATTTTAATTAAATACATTTATTTTAATGTAAAAAAATTAAATTTGGATAGATTTACTCATTTTTGTGTGCTAGCTAGTCTTATGTCAACTTGACACACAAGCTAGAGTAATCTGAAAGGAGGGAACCTCAACTGAGAAAATGCTTCCATAAGATCCGGCTGTAAGGCATTTTCTTAATTAGTAACTGATGCGGGAGGACCCAGCCCATTGTGGGTGGAGCCATCCCTGGGCTGGTGGTCCTGGGTTCTATAAGAAAGCAGGCTGAGCAAGCCACTGGGAGCCAGCCAGTAAGCAGCACCCCTCCAAAACCTCTGTATCAGCTCCTACCTCCAAGTTCCTACCCTATTTGGGTTCCTGTCCCTGACTTCCTTTGGTGATGAACAGCAATATGGAAGTGTAAGCCAAACAAACCCTCACTTCCAACTTGATTATGGTCATGGTGTTTCATTGCAGCAATAAAAACCCTAACTAAGACATTTTGTATAATCAGAAGTAAGAATGGGACCTGGTACATGCTTGGTAAGTATATTTCACCACTCCGCTAATCTTGGTCATATTTAAATTTATAAATATAAAAGTATACATATTGGTGAGTAATATGTAATATATTGATGTATTATATGTAGTGTGTCATATTAAAATAATGTTAAGTATTTTCTTTTGATGAAAACTTTCAAAGTTCTTTTTGCTGTCTTTTGAATGTGCAGTGCAATGCTGCCATGTACGGTCACCCGACTGTGCAATACCAGACCAGACTCTGCTGCTCTCAGCTATGACTCAGTGCCTTCTGATCTAGAATTGCACATCACTGACCCTCTCCACCCAAGTATCGGGACGTCTGGCACGGTGGCCCATTTAGCTCCATATTAAGACATTCAAGGGCATTGATACCTGTCATTAGAGATAAAGATATTTTTGCTCAGGAGAATATTGGTAGAATTTAAAGGACACAAGAACAGATTTATATTGTATGATGCAAAAGTATAAAGAAATAGAGAAGAGTTGGGGAGAGAGAGAAGAGGGAAAGAAAAGAGGAAGAGGAAGAGGAAATGAGGGAGAGAGAGCCAGTTGGAAGGGAAGGAAGGAAAAGTTAGCTTTTCCTGTGCAGTTAAATCTAATGCCTTGACTTTATCTTTCTAAACAGATAAACAGATGCCTTGGCAAGGAAGTCTGGCTCACTAAGCTATGTTTAATACGTTCAGTCCAGAAAGTCACAGGAAATATTTGCCTCAAACATGTATAACCATTTGTTCTAAGGGAAATCATTTTTTTTTCTCTCCAGCTAGTTATTGTCTGCTACTTGGATTATTATTATTATTATTATTGTTATTATTATTATTATTATTATTATTATTATTTGTAGTTAGAAAAGTCAGGGTACTCCTCACATACAAAGACCACATGCCTGTAAACACAGACGCCTTTCTCCAGAGAACAACACAGCAATGAGTCCTCAAGATGACATCTATTTTTCATGTGCTTGCAATGTATGGCTGAGTGCATGTTTGTGTGCATGTGACTGTGTGTCTGGGGGAAGTGTGTGTACCTGTGGGTAGAGACCAAAGATCAGCGCTGGATATTGTCTTCTATTTCTTTTCACCATAGATTTTGAGACAGGATCTTCACTCTGACATTCACCAGTGGGTTGTACTTACTGACCATCACAATACTGGAGATCCTCCTGTCTCCACTTCAGAGCACTAGGGCTATCCCACCTCTAGCCTTTTGGGCGATGATAGGCATTCAAATTCAGGTATTCATGCACTTTATTGGCAACTATCTTCCCAGCCTTATAACTATGACTTTTTCTACACTTCCATGAAAAGTCATGAAAAAGATTAATATGGTGCTTTATATGACCTTTGTATTTAATTATACATTTTGCTTGCTAAAATTGAATATTAATTATAAATAATTAACTTACAACACCATGAAAAGTGACCTCAGCCATTTCATATGGGATTAATGTATTCTGTGTGTGTTTGATAGACCACAGAGCAACAGAGGCTCTGCCCTGATGAACCAGAGGATGCTGACACCTACTCAGAGTCTGTGAAATTCGATGCTCGCTCGATGACAGCATTGCTTCCTCCCAGTGAGTAGAAAGTGACAGAGTGACACAGGTAGTGAGTTGGGTGGCTTACATCAGTAGATTTGTTTATTTTTTCCCTCATAGTTCTCTATCTTAGAAATCTTAAACCAAGGTGTCCAAATGGCACAGGTCATTTCCAGCTTCTAGTGGTTTCTGGCAATTCTTGGTGGCCCTGGCTTTTAGCCGAGTCACTGGCACCTCTGCTTTCTGCTTCAGAGGGTTTGTTTTCCTGTGTAATTGTGTGTTCTTTTCTCTTCTTAGAAAGATCCAACCACCAGAATAAATATCACACCACAAGACATCATTTACACTTGACTACATCTTCTGTGACCCTAGTTCCAATTAAAATCACCTTCATCGTTATCTAGAGCTGGGACTTCTGCATATCTTTTGGGGAGATAAAAAAATCACACTTGCAACAGATGAATCATATGGTGACAGGAACACAAGGAAAACAATGTTCTGCAGCTTCTGATCAGGCTGGAGGTGACAGAACAGAATTGTTTATCAGTCTACTAACTCTTGACGCCCATATCTGAGAGGATGGGCAGAAAGAGAAGAGTTGGAGAGAGATTCCATGTAGGGGAAATAGCATGCAAAGCACACGAGTTTACATGAACAAATTCAAATCCCAGCTCATAGTGAAAACACACTGTGTGCTAGTTCACACCTGTAATTCCGGTGTTGGAGAGGCAGAGACAGAGAAATCCCTGTGGCTTGTTGAGCAACCAGTCTAACTAAATTTGCAAATTCCAGGTTCAGCGAGAGACCTTGTCCCAAAAATAAAGTGGAAGGGACAGAGTGATTGCTCAGTGGCTAAGAGTCCTTGCTCCTTCAGAGGACTTGGCTGTGATTCCTAGCGTGCATATGTCAGCTCATAACCAGCTATGACTCCAGTTCTAGATGATCTGACCCCTGGCCTCCACATGCACCAGACACACACAGGGTACACAAACAGGATTCATATTCAGTCAGCCTGAAACACAGACAGTTCCAACTTGTTTTTTATAATGGGTTGTTCTTTTTAATTTTCATTCTTTACTTTTCTTGACTCTACTTTTTTAAAAATGTTCGTTTCTTTCCCTCTCCTTGTGTTACAAAATGTAACTGAACAGAGCTGAATAAAGTGGTTCACATCTATACTTCTATAACTTAGGAGTTAGAGGTAGGAAAATCATGAGTTCAAGGCCATTTTTAGCTGCAGAGTGAATTCAATACTAGCCTGGGCTATATGAAACTATCTCAGGAAAGAAGCTTGGGAGGTGACTTTTTCAGTCACGTGTCTGCTGTGCAAGCAGGGGGACTTGAATTTGGATCTTCAGAAGCTGTATTAAAACTGAGGGTGGCAGAGGCCGAGCACTCTTCTAAACACAGCACTGGGGAGACAAATACAGGCAGATCCCTGAAGCTCCTTGGCCAGCCAGTCTACTCAAATCAAGAAAATGCAGGTTCCATGAGAGACCCTGTCTCAGAAGTGAAGAGTGAGGCTAAATAGAGGAGGGCATCCAAGCCCTGACCATGAGCCTCCACAGAAGCCCAGATGAACGCACGCAGTCACACACACACACACACACACACACACACACACACTTATACATACATACACACACACACACACACACACACACACACACACACACACACACACACTCTCCCCACACGATAAATAGGTAAATAATCTACCATTTTCCCTCTGTATCGGCATGGTCCCATTGTAGTCTACATCCCTTTATAGGAGTTCCTGTTCTATGCAAATGCATGTCAAGGAGATAAGTGTAGTTATTAGGTCCTGATATATCTAGAGCATGAGTTTCATTGATGTGTTCCAAAGTTTTGTCAAAATGTAAATCATTTTTTATCCCATTTAGAATAATTGTATGTCACAGTCCAATCATGTGAGATATACAAATCGGAAATCATATGCAGCCATGTTCTCTCACTTGTGCGACAAATACTTTCCCTGCTGGACCTTATACCCAACACCAGTTATCAAGACTTAAATTTAGGTTTTTAATGATAGGCTGGGATTTTGTTATGTTTTCTTTTGCTTTGTTTTAGATCCTAAAAATGGCCCTTCCCCTCAGGAGAAGCTGAAATCCCTCAAAACTGCCCTAGTTGCCCTCTACCTTCTTGTGTTTGCCATTCTCATACCGCTCATTGGGATAGTGGCAGGTACAGTATCCTAGAATTTTCAAATTGTTCATCCGCTTATTGTAAGAGCAGAGCTATGGCAGTTTTTGTATGGTAGATTCGTAAGAAACTTCATATACTAAGCATTCCTCGATTTCAACAAATGCAATCAAAATAGATTCTGTAATGCAAATATTAACAGGCTTTTTTAATTTTACAAATAAAATATAAATATTAAAAATATTGACAAAAAAGTGGGCTAGATTTACATCTGTTCTGCTCTCTCTTTCTCCTCCCTCCAACTCCTCACTTGTCCTCTGATTCCTCCTCAAAACCATTATCTTATTATTCTTTGCTATCACTTTATTATTGTTTTATATATGAATTCGTTTGCTGATGATGCTCAAATGTATATGCATTTAGGTCTGACCTCTTGTGATTAGATAATATATCAGGTACTCATTCCTACAGATGATTGAGTCTTCACCAAACGCCATTAATTGCCAATAGCTAGGTCTTCATCCAGGATTAGGGCCTTGTGAGATTTCCTCTATCTATATTGAAATGTCAATTGGTGGTGTAATTTTTCAGGTCTTGTTTAAGTGATCACATTGTTAACATTTCATGAGTGCAGATCCATGCCATGCATAGAAGACACAGTCTCTCAATAGTCAACATGATCCTCCTTCTCTCGGTCTTCCTGTCCTCTCTTCTGTGATGTTCCCTGAACTTTAGATGTACAAGGTGTATCGATTTGGGTGGGATAGGTATACCAGGATCAGTTGTTCTCTGCATTTTGGCTAATTGTGGATTTCTGTAATGATTTCAGTCCACTGTGGGTGGGGGCCTTCTCTCTTGAGCAGTGATGAGCCATGAGAGTTATACTTATCTGTGGGCATACATAAGTATTTAGAATATAGTTCGAATTTTTATTGGAGTAGGGAAATGGCAGTAATACGTCGTCTGGGCTAGGTTTACAGTACTCGGCATCATGAGCAGGAGGGAGTATTATCACTCCAAGAGGCAAAAATTTCATTTAAATTGTATGTGACTGTGTGTGCATGCATGCATGTCTGTAGTTTTAAGCAATTATAAAATAGTGCATGGAATACATCTTCATTTATTTACATTGTAAATAATGTAAACTTCTTTCAAAGACTTGCATAAATCTTGTATATGTACTGTTAGACGTGACTGAGATTAGATTCTCTTCATGCTTATGCAAGTGCTAATGAATTTGAATTTTACACTGCCTTGGCTCATTGCTGTTACACATAAATGTAATTGAATTTTTATATTAAACTTTCAGTAATTTTTTTTAAAGAAAGTAGACTGGTAAGGTTTAGAGTATTTCAGAAGTGTGTTGAACAACAGCACTCCTGAAATTCCAGTTATTACATAATAAAAATGCTCCCTAAAAAGAATGAAGTTAACCATGTTCTTTAGTGTGTTTCTAGTGTCTTCTAAAGTATGTTAAGAAAATCTAATATTCTGAAGTACTTGTCAATGTGAAAACAAATATGGTCATTTACACTAACAATGTCTATCTCAGACAAACATGCCTGTTTTTCAGAAATTTTTATAAATCAAATGCAGAAAATAGATAGCAATAATTAATATATTTGATGTGCTTTTATTTAAACATATCTTAATAATAACACAGTAACATATATTGGGATTTTAAATAAAATAGAATTTGTTACTTAGGTTTCATGTGATATTCTCCAGGCATGTATTTCTACTTGAACTGGGATAATATTTTCAAATGATGTTTTCCCTAGATACATGGTGTCCTTTATCACAGGGTAGCTCTTCTAACTTACTATGTACCTAAGAATGACCTTAAACACGGATTTTCCTGCCTATACCTCTGAGTACTGAGATTAGGGGCATCAACACGTTTTGTTTATGTGATGCAGGAATTGAATTCAGGGCAACCTACATGCTAGGGAAGCAGTCTATTGACTGAACTACCTCCTCAGATTAGATGTGTTGGATTTTAACTGATATTCAAATTAATTGGTCTAGTCATTATCCTTTTCTCTATGATTTCCCCCAATGTATTTGCTATATACATTATCAAGAGAAAAGCTTAGGAAAAATTCATTTGAATGTACATACTAATCTACCTAAGAAAATGGCCTTAAATGCAAAATCAAATGTTTTTGTTAAGGGGTAATCTGAGAGAGTATCTCAAAACAGATTCAAAATTGTACTCAGAAAGAAAAGCTAAGGAAATCAACAACAATTGTAAAAGGAGCTATCATTTTATCATTTTACATCATTTACTACGCCCAAGCACTGGGCTCTAAACTTTCAGCATATTATCTTAATACATCTTTACAATTACTCTTTCAGCAGACACTATAATTATCTTCATTATCCACACCAGAAACTGAAACTCCTCAGTAATGGAGCATGTGTTCCCATCTATGACTTTTGTGTCCTAACCTCTCTTGTCCACTGGCTCCCATTGTAATGTGGTTATTATAATAAAGCATGATTGTCCAGAAAAAAAAAAACCATGAAAATAGAATTGTCATAATGTTATCCAAGAGATTATCTTTATAAAAAAACCCAAAAACAAACAAGCAAAACACAAAAACAGCTCCTGTTTTAGCCATTAAAAACAGAGAAAACAAAATCCAAACATAATCAAAATAAACAGCAAACAAATGGCAGCTATTGAATAAAGAGAACTGAAGTTTCTAGTAATGTAGATTCCTCATGAACAAAATTATCTATAGTTGTCCATGTATACATGCTTATCTGCAATGTGAAATACAGACTTGAATGGTGTGTCCTTGCTTGGTGTCACCAAATATACACCAGGGAGAATTTGAATAAATTCCATCTCTTTATGTAAACCACAGTCTACAGAGCCTACAGGGCTCTGATAGGCCCTGATCAAGGGAGACAGAAGCCTGAAAAGTATCCATGGCTATAATCAAGTTCAAAATTCTTGGGCCATTAGGAGATACTACAAAGTAAAAACATTTGCTCTGGAGTAGATACTAATTGATCTGTGATTTTTCCGTTTCTTAAAACTGCAGTAGGAACCTATTAAGACAGACAGGAAATAGAATGTTCCAATCTTATAAATTAATACCAATACCAAATTCACTAGAATTTTAAGGAGAAGTCATTGTGACTATCATGTACCAATAATAGGTAACTTAATGCATTTATAACTCTTAGTACCAAATCACAATGTCTTTCAAAGAAGAGTTAAAATGTATTGCATACACAGACACGATATGAAAAGATTACAGTTGCAGAATTCTGAAAGTAATGGTACGACACATGAATTGATAGCTGAAGGAAAATTGTGAACATGGAGCTATTCCAATTTAAAGTGGCTCGTACATGAAAAGTTGCTTTATTATTTTCATGGCCTACTTTGTATGATATCTTTCTTAAAGAATGTGAAATATTCCTGACAGAAAAATAACATCATAAGACTAGAGCAAGACAAAAAGATATATTCTAGAATGGAGGTATATGAATTGCTACTGAAACATAAATTATTTTTTAAAAATATAAATTTTGGATAGGAAAAGATATTACTAATATGAAAGCATAAACCTGATATATAGAATCAAATATCACTAGTTACCTGGGTATTTATATATGCCATAAAATTTTGACTTGTTTCTGTGTAAAATGGAGATGATACAGAATGACATCTCTCCAGGAACAAGTGAAAAGTAGTGTACCTTTGAGAATATAAACTCTGACATTCTCTTTTAATTTTATTTTTGACATTATAACATAATCTTACATTTAGCATTTGGAAAATCTTCCTTTTCCTTCTTCCAAACACTGTCATAAACCTCTCCCCACTCTCCTTAAAATTAGTTGTCTCTTTTCACTCTTGTTTTACATGCATATATGTATATGCTCACACACATATATTCCTAAAATATATCCTGTGTAGTCTGCATGATGTTACTTGTATGTATGATTTCAGGATTGGCTGTTTGGCACTGGTCAAGCAGTTGGTCCTCCTTGGGATGCACCACCCCTCCTGTTCCCAGCTTTATTCAGTTGCCTATAGTTCTTTGTGTAAGGTTGAGACCTACTGGGCTTTTCCATTTTCCATGTTGGAATGTCCATTGGTGGTGTCTTTGTGGCATTCTTTATATATCTGTATTATAAGGAGGTAATCTCTACTTTAAATTTTTTCCTCATCTATTTAATTTGCTTAGATAGTTAGTGCCTAACTCTCTACTGTTGTGGTAAGACAACATGACCAAGGCAACTTATAAAATAAAGCATTAGTTTTGGACTTACAGTTGCTCTAACTAGAGGATTAGAGTCCATGACCACCATGTCAAAGAGAATGGGAGGAAGAAGGTAGGCATGGTTCTCAGAGCTCACATCTTGAGACAAAACCATGAGGAAGAAAGAACTAGAATGGCCCAAGTCTTTAGAAACTTCAAGTCCTGCCTTTATTGATATACCTCTCCTACAAGATCACACTTCCTAATGCTTCCTAAACAGTTATATCAACTGTGGAACCATAAATTTAAATATGTGAGTGTTTGGAGCCAATTCTCATTAAGACTGCCACAGTTAGTTAATTATTGCTGTAGTCTGGATTCTAAGGTTTGTACATGCATGCCCGGCAAGCACCATCTAGCTAAGCACTCCAGTACTCGAGTGAACCATTTTTAAACAAAGTAAAGCTCACGCTAGTTTTATTTATTATTAAGGAGACAAGAAGTATTCTGTTTTTAAAATAAATAAGTAAAGTAAAGCCTGTACTTCAAACTCATGTGTACATTGTCAAATTAAAATCATAGTTCACTAAACCTTTTGCAAAATCAGATCTCTTCTTCCTATGCTAAGATAAATACTTATTAATTTACTATGTGAAGTAAAGCTTGTTTTCAAAGCAAAAATCTATGATGAAGCAAGTAGGGCATAGATCTAGTTAAATAAAGTACAAACTGCTATGTTTACAGAGACAACTCACTTCAGGAATGTTTCTATGCTACACAACATATTAATATATTTAGTATATTTTATTAATTAATTTACTTAAGTAATATATTCATACTATATATAGCTAATATATATAATTATAATGAATTAATTAATATTAGGAATGTAGATGATAGGTTTGGTTCAGTGTAAACACAAAATTGATGATAATGCTATGTAGCTTTTCTTTGTGTTATTTAATTCTCAAAAACTCTCTAAAACTGGTTGCACTAAAAATTCAACAGATTCAGGTGCAGCCACACATTTAAGTATTTTTAGCTAAATGGAGATACATTTTTTCCTTCTCTATGAAGTCATATGTGGAAAATGTCATACATCAAACATAACAATGTAAAAGAAGCATGCAAATAAAAATAGTTACGTAGTCACTTATACTTCGTTCATTTTCCTTAAATATCTTATATCATTATAGACTAGTGGTAAAATATTTTAATATTTACTTTTTATATAATTGCAATGTATGGAATTTTTATCTTTAAAGCCAATGTTTTATTTACCTTCAGTTTTCATTATTTTGTGAATTATACAGAGTATCATTCTATACCATTCTGAAAGGATAAGTAGTTCATTTAGAGAACATGTGCCCATTTAGAAATATGTGTCAGCAGCTCATTATGATCCCCAAATTCCACTGAATAGATATTCTTGAAGATGTGATTCATCACAAGAGTGATTCTTCAAATAATGAATGTGTTACTGAGAACAGAAGCAAACTTAATTTGGTGAATTTCTAAGCAAATCTGACAGATCCACCATAAGGTATAATATACTTATCAAATTGTTTTGTAGAAAATTATTAACAAAAAATAAAAGGGCAGTTTTTAGATTCTATAATTCTAGGACTGGGCTACAGCAGGAGAATCATGAGTTTGAGGTTAGCTTGGCTGTGTAACAGCTTCAAGGCCAAGCTGAGCTATATAATGAAGATTTGTATCGCAAACCAATTAATATAACAATTATGTTAATTGAAACAAACATGATTTGATAAATATACGAGATATTAGCTATTAGTTCAGATTGATAATACATATAGTAAATTTGTTTTCACATTTTCTGCCTTGATTAAATATTTTACTGTGGGTTAAAATATTCTAATAAGTGTAATGCATTTTTAAAGAGAACAAACATATTTTCATAATTTCTTGCTTGACTAAGATGGCCATTTTTGATAGTGTCAGTAATGAATCAACAGTTTGCCAATACTGTGGATGGCATTAGTCTTCTGCTCATCCTGTGCACTGTTGTTTTGTAATTGTCATCCTAATATAGCTATGTCCCACAGGCTTATTCCAGAAGAGTGGCTTCACGTGCTCTCATTTTCAATTAACAATAGTCCATGGAGTAGCATGCAATACATATCAGTATGTAGAATTTTCTCTAATTGGCAAAGAAAACACAATGACCAAGAAGACTAATGAGCAACAAATCAGAAAGAATAATCTATACTGGAATAAATTCTAACATAAAAAGCATAAAGGTGACTGTGTGATTTATATTAACATACTGAGTGGGATCATTGCAAAATATATTCTTGATTTAGGCTAGTATTCAACATATTGCAATGGAATGGAATGCAGAGCCATAGAAAGGAATGATGAGTACAAAATAATATAGGCTATGATTTGATTTATTTTTAATTTAAATTTGCAGCCCATCTTAGGAATTGGGAAATGAAGAACTGCTTAGTTGGTTCAAGTAACACAAGTGATACATCTCAAAGTCTGATTGGAAAAGAAAACACCAGTAAAGCTGAAATGAGATTTACAGTTGCCTTGGAACACATGAAGGACATGGAAGAGAGAATCCAAAGCATTTCAGACTCAAAAGCCAACCTCATAGATGCAGAACGCTTCCAGAACTTTAGTGTGACAATCGACCAAAGACTTAATGATGCTCTTCTGCAGTTAAGTTCCTTGATTTCATCAGTCCAGGAACATGGGAACTCACTAGATGAAATCTCCAAATCCTTGCTGAGTCTGAATACCACACTGCTTGATGTCCAGCTCAATACAGCAACCCTGAATCACAAAGTCAACGAGTCTACAGTGAAGCAGCAGGAGGTAAGCATTTCAGAATGCAATGGCATGGTTGCATTCTGGAGCTAAATTCCTCCAGATTCTGTTTCTTTCAGCAATTCAGAAAGCAGAAGGCACAAAACTTTTTTCTACTTCACCTACTGATGTTTACTTCTCTGACAATCTAATAAAAGGTCTCTATAGATTTAACTGGTGCCTTTTCCAGACTCCCAGCAAAAGGAGAGTGTTTTTCCATTGAATCTAGACTACGAAGGTGTTTTCATATTATAAATACCATTTATTGCCTTGTTAGACTACACCAATTATAAGAGTTAGATTACTTGAGCATATCTGGAAAAGTAAATACCTGTATGTGTCAATTTTTGAATAATTTAATATTCCTTAGAATAATAATGATCTCTTCTAATAATAATAATTCCTTCTAAGAATCTAATAATCTAATCTAATAAAATAATGTAAGTATTTACATGATACCTTATGAAGCAGAATTTTAAGTTAATTTATTTAGCCATTTCTAGAAGATATACACAGGTTTTATTGCACTAGTAACTAAAATTAAAATTTGAAAATTATAAACATATTTTTAACATGAGTTCTTAATAAGATAACAGTGTACACTTATAATCATCGTAAGATTCAATGTGTATTAAATTTTCTACTTCTGTTCATGCTATGGCATGCATTAATCATCAAAAAAAAATAGTCACACAAAAAGCAGTACTGTAGAATGATGACATATCCATCTCTTTGTATGCCTGCCAAGAGAAATATATATTAGGACAGTTGTTAATAATGATTCCTTCTAGGCAAGATGGGAAAACTTTAGACTGAAAAACCTACATGGTCTGAGAAAAGACTCAGTACAGAAGCCAACAACTGTAACATGCAGACATATGAGCAAAGGTTGGGGAACAATAAATGTTTATTTACAAAACTAGTTTGTGGATTCAACCCAGCCCATGTACTGTAATTTATGACCTTGGTTCCAAATCATTTTATAGCTAATTCTGGCTAAGATCTGGATTGATTTGTCCTTCTGAAAGGGAAGTTAAGAACAAAAGGAAAACAAAATCTTAAAAAATACAAACATATGTTTTATGATTCTATTTTTTTTCTTTTCTTTTTTTTTATTTTGCAATACAATTCAGTTCTACATATCAGCCACGAATTCCCTTGTTCTCCCCCCCTCCCGCCCCCCTCACCTGCCCCCAGCCCATCCCCCATTCCCACCTCCTCCAGGGCAAAGCCTCCCCCAAGGACTGAGATCAACCTGGTAGACTCAGTCTAGGTAGGTCCAGTCCCCTCCTCCCAGGCCGAGCCAAGCGACTCTGCATAGGCCCCAGGTTTCAAACAGCCAACTCATGCAATGAGCACAGGACCCGGTCCCACTGCCTGGATGCTTCCCAAACAGATCAAGCCAATCAACTCTCTTACCCATTCAGAGGGCCTGATCCAGTTGGGGACCCCTCAGCCATTGGTTCATAGTTTATGTGTTTCCATTCGTTTGGCTATTTGTCCCTGTGCTTTATCCAACCTTGGTCTCAACAATTCTTGCTCTTATAAACCCTCCTCTTTCTCGCTAATTGGACTTCCAGAGCTCCATGATTCTATTTTTGTTGAGTGATTCCAGTTGTTTCTTTTCATTTAGAAACTAAATATTTGGCTAAAACTTCACCACCTATGTAAAAAAAAATCTATGTATCATAAAATATCTAAGATGTGGGATCCTTATGTGAAAACATTACAATTAAATTACAATATCAAGCCCAGTGGTGGTGGCGCATGCCTTTAATCTCAGCACTGAGGAGACAGAGCCAGGTGGATCTCTATGAGTTCAAGGCCAGCCTAGTCTATGGAGCGAGATCCAGGACAGGCATCAAAACTACACAGAGAAACCCTGTCTCGAAAAAAACAAGCAAAAAAATTACAATATCAAAAATAAAAGATCAACAAAAAAAAAATCACTCTTGATGAAGTTATTTCCAGATGAGTTATTGTTGCTCTGAAGATCAGCTCAGTGGTAGAGTGATAGTATAGCAGACAAAAGACTCTGGGTCCAACCCAGCACCACAAAACAAGCAAGCAAACAGAATATTACTGCAGCAGCAAATACTCTTGTAATTTAATTTTTGAGATCATAATTTAATTATAATTCTCCTTTACTTTCCTCCCTTGATGCATCTATACCCCTATGACAAGATGTTATTTTTAATTTTCAGTATTTGACATTTGTATTTGGGAGTAGACCCATTCGTAGATGTCTAGCTCACGATTTTGTTTGTTTTGACTTGAGATCTTAATGAACCATTTAGCCAAAAGAAAAAAATGCTTTGTAGCCGGGAAAACTACAATTCTGAATACTCATGTGCTTATTCTTATCCTGTAACACTCCCCCAATGCTATGTGCTTTTAAAACACCCAAATTTCAAAAACTCTGTGCACTTCCATATTTCCTAATGGTGTGCAACAAAGGTTGCAATGCTTACTGTGTTTTACAGGATATCAGTAAGTTAGGGGAACGTGTGCGCAAAGTGTCAGCAGAAATCCAGTCTGTGAAAGAAGAACAAGAGAGCGTGGAACAGGAAGTAAAACAGGAAATGAAAGTACTGAATAACATCACTAATGACCTCAGACTGAAGGACTGGGAACACTCACAGACATTGAAAAACATCACCTTAATTCAAGGTAAGACATCTTGTCCCAAAAATGAGACATTAAAATATATCATTACATGCAGACGTTTGATATTTGAAATTCTCCCATTTAAAGTAAATGTTTTTTGAGGATGAAGTTACCATAAGTGCACAGAAGAACTAAAAGAGAAATGCAAATCTAGATGTGGTGACTCAGCACTGGGAAGGATGAGGCAAGAGACCACCACAAGTTTGAGGCAAGGCTAGGCTCCACAGTGAGAGCCTGCCTCAAAAAATAAAAGAGAGAGGACCATATAAGCATAAAAAAATCTCTTTACTTCTTATCTGACTATACTTTTAGTTAGAGACACCTCTTGAAATCTTCAAAATAATCATAGATATACCAGTATCTTCTTCAGTTCCAATGACTCTTACTCATCTTTTGGCAAGCATAAGTCATTTATATCTATATATTAAATTTTAGTTATTTTCATTTTATGGATATTTTTCTATAATTTTAACTTTTTGGTCTGTGTTTTTAAAGTTTATTTCCTATAAATATGGTTGTTTTTAAAAATACAATCTGACGATTTCTTTTCCTTATATCTATTTCTATTACTTTATTTTGTGCTTTTTTTCTTTTTCCAGCTTGATTTACATCTCTCTCACTTTCTTGTTCTGTCTTTTGTATTATTTTTATTGAATTTATCTCCTCTTCAAAGTTACCAAACAGGGTTTGGAAACTTTATGATTTACTCCACTTGTCTTGATTGCTGTTAAAATGTGTTGTAATATATGTTAATGCTGGTCAGCATCTTAAAAGATAACGGAGTTGAATAGGGAACTGAAAGTGCTTTTCTTCATGACGCACTCCCTTGTCCCCTCTGTTTGAGATTACAGTTCATGTTATAAACTTTTACAAACTAGAGCCTAGTCTATATTATTCAACTTTCTTTTTATTAAAAGAATTTATTCTGTAGCCAGTTACTCCTATAAAAAATCTATGTCATTCATCTCTTCTGGGTAATCTTCCTTCTGCATAAAATAAATGATTGGGAAGTTCATTTAGCCAAAGTCAGTGGTATGATGTTGATGTCATTTTCTTCCTTTTTTTTTCTTTGCTCTTGATTTTTCCCTATGTCTTACTCTATACACATTTTTATGTCCACAATTATTTTGGTTATGTCATGAGGACAATAATTGATAGGGATTTGGCTTCTGAATACCAAACATTTGTAGATGCCCATCTGTCTTATGTAAGTGGCCCAGTATTTGCTCCCTATTATGTGTACTTTGGATGACTGCTGAGTTAGTTACTATAAGTAATGAAAGGAACATGCTGTGTGATAGTTGCTCTACAGTGTCTCTAAGGGAATGAAGAAAAGAAAATAACAGACATGTTTACACAGATACCATTTCCTCCCCTTCAGCACTAGAGAGCAAGCCTGACCTTGGACAGGCTGGGTTGACACTCTACCACTGAACTCCACCTAGTCCTCTGCTTTTGTTTGTAATTTTAAATTTTTTGGTAGGAAAATTGTTTAAAACTGTAGGTGTAGAACAAGATGTCCCAGTGTATTTTGGACAAACTATTCCTGTGGATTTTGGTTTTCTTTACCTTCGTTATTCATCTCTCTGTAATGTCTGTGATCTCACCAATCTGAATTTTGGATGGAGAATTTTTTGAATTAGACAATTGTCGTAATTCCAAGAAATTTGATTTAAGATTATGGTCAGTTTGTAAACATTTTCCATTTTCATATTCCCTCTCATTCTCCATCCTTCCCTTACTCCTTCCTTTCCTCTACTCCTTCCTCCTTCTCTTTCTTCTTTCTGAAGTTTCAACCCAAGTGCTTGCTAAGTTTCAACCTAGTTTCTAATTTAATTCCCTTTTAATATGACTTCTTCACAGTTCTCTCTCCTTCCTCTGTAACAAAAGTCAATTTGGACTATCTCATTCTGTCTCCCATGTTCATTAAGTTTAATTTCATGATTTCAATATTTTCTTCATTAAGAACTAGATTAGAAATTAATAACCACATGAGATTTTTCTCTACCTTATACTAGCTTAAGACAATTAAGAAGTAGGGTCATCCACATTTTAGCACCAATGGAACTTATAATCAGTACATATAAACTATATGGTATAATTTGACTTATTCATTGCTAGTTTATTTATTATTAAGTTTCTCTTAATCACTTATTTATTTGTGCAGGGATTGAATCTGGTGGCTTTACATGCTATATTCAATGTTTTACCCCAATTTATATCTTTGGTCCTTTTTTAATATTCACAATTTATCAAACATAAATGTATATTTACAGCCATACTGTTATATAATAAAAAATGATGCTATCAAATTGAAAGAAAATAAGAAATGCTAGATTCCAGTTATGTTTATCTCTGGGAATGAAGTAGGTGCATGAATGAGGGATCTTGTGGCTGATATCTGTGCTGGTGAAAGCTTGTTGGGGGGGTATTTTCCTTGCTACTGTACTGTGTAGCTCACATACAGTGCATGTCACACCCATTCTTTCTTTCATTAGCACATTAAAACACATGGCAAAGAAAAATCTGGATTAACCAACCTTTGAATAATTGGACGCTTCCATTGTTCATTTCAATCTATATCCCACACTTTAAAAATCCAAAATCAAAACCTTGACTCTTAACCAACATGTCCATCTCCATTCTCAAATCTGTTGTTTTTCTAGTCTTTTTGTAAATTGTATCATTCTTCAAATAGTTTCTTGCTCCAAGCTATTTGCCATTTATCTCTTATTCTCTTTCTCTAGAAAGACCATGCTCATGTCCTCTTCATTTTTCTTACATACAAAAGTTCAAATAAGATTTATTAATATCTCTCTTAAAACTCCTAATATAAGCCATCATTTTCCAGTTTTGTGTGTTGTATCAGCCTTGCAATTGGTCTATATGATCTATATTTTACTTATTCTACCTAGAAAAAAAATGGCTTTATCAGCACATAGTTTACAGTCTTTAAGATTTTTTTAAATTAAAATATAATTAGATTAATTTTTCCCATTTCATTTCCTTCCTCCAACAGTTCCTATGCACCCTACTCAAATTCATAGCTTCTATTCCTTCAGTTGTTGTGACATGCACATACATTCACACACACATATACACACACATATGTGTATATATTTATCTCCACCAATAGAATTACAAGCATAAATTCTGAATGTGTGCACAATATTGATGTCATTTTGTGCTATTACAGTGTCCCTTTCTCTGTTACCAGGTTCTCAGAACCTAGTAAAGTGTTAACCTCATAAGAATATTTATATGATTCAATTTGAGAATATGACATCTTTCTCAGATGAGACCATTACAGTTTTCAACAGCAGAGTACTTTGCCATTTAGGAAGATCAGAGTTCTTCATTTTATGTTAATGCACAGCAAATAGAAATATTTGGATTTCTATATAACTTTTTGATAAATAATAAACTTACCTATGCTTTATAATTATTGTCAGTACTTGTGATTTTTTAAAGGACCTCCTGGACCCCCAGGTGAAAAGGGAGATAGAGGACTCATTGGACAAAGTGGTCCACCTGGCATTCCAGGTACAATAGATAAGGATATAGTAATCACTTAATGATATACCACAAGGTTGAATGATGTGTATCCATGTTTGTGTTAAGGAGAGAATATCTATTCCATCTTTTCTGTGGTGTATGTGTGTGTGTGTGAGTGTTTATATATCCTCTCACATGCTGACAAATATAATGTATTCTAACATCCTAATCACATGGCAAATTTAATGGTAATATTAATTTATTTAAAATATTTTATTATTTTATGTGTATGGATGTTTTGGTTGCACATATGTCTATGCACAGTGTACATGCCTGGTATCTTCTTAGATGTGAAAAGGGTATCTTATCCCTGAGAATTTGAGTGACAGATAATTGTTGGTTGCTATATGGGTTCCAGGAATCAAACATGGGTCCTCTGGAAGAGCAGTCAGTCCTCTTAACTACTGGGTCATGTCACTAGCCCAAGCACTAATTATTGATTTTTGTAGAACACTTAACGTTTTAGTCAGAGTTACTACATAAGGTTGTTTATGAGTCTGGGGGCTTTCCGGGGAGACCATATGCAGCATAGAGTGCACATAAAGCTGTTAGGTAAAGGAGAACATGAAAATCACATTCCTGTTGGATTAATTTGCAAGATATGATTTTTCAAGATATATAGATACATTCATGAGAATATAGTTCTTGCATATTCCTTGACTGCACTATACCATTTAAACTTCCAGAACTGCAAAGTAAATAAAGGAGAGAAGATGAGTGACTTTTGTCTTGGCTGGCAGCCACTCTTTGTATTGTTATTTTATGTCGAGAAAAATTGTTCTGAATTATTTTCCTCTGAGGATGTTGTAGACATGAAAGCAGTGTTTTGAAAGAAGATAATGGAAGACACAGAACAGGAGAGAGGACATGAACTTTCTTTGCTCAAAAAAAACCCCCTGAAACCAACAATAACAAAAATGTGGTTGCCATGCCATTCAAATGCCATCCTTTGCCCTGCACACTGTTTGAAAGTAAAATAGACTGAAGGGTCTAAACACAATTAGAAAGGCTGACTGGCCAGAAATTTACCTAAATACCTTGGATCCCATCTTAGTTTTCCCCTTTAGATGAAATAAATGTTTTTTTTTTCATGAATATTTTGACTAGCCATATTTACATGAGAAAAAATACCCAAAGCTGAAATGCATGAATAGTATCTATCATACAAGTACATCATTGTGTATCTTATACTTAAAAGAAAATGGCTTTAAAATCTTTATCTGTCTATCATCTATCATATATATATATATATATATATATACCTATATCTATAAATAGTGTGTGTTCATCTTTCTGTAAGTAGTGTGTGCTTTTGACAATAATAACAAATAAGTATTTTTATCCAGTAAAGTCCTTCTTCTTGTTGAAGGCTCTGCACATCTTAAGAAATATGCATTCATATCTTAAGTAGGAGAAGCAACCAACATTATTGTATCTGCCCAAGCCACTGTCACCAAGATCTATAAGAAGCTGTCCCCTACTATGAAGCATAATTGCTAAAGCCCTATAGTGCAAACACAGAAAGTCAGTGTGGCCCATGATTTGCTGTACAAGTATTGCCTTGAAAGCATTATTCCCAGTTTCTGATCTATGGATGTGTGAGATAGAATAGGGTTTGAACTTTTCAGCTTTTATTACTAGTATAAACAGACACCACGTCAAACTAATATACTGTGTCTGAGTCTGATGTCAAGAAAGAACACTGGCCTCAGCAGCAGCAACAGCAACAACAGCAGCTGCAGCAGCAGCAGCAGCAGCAGCAGCAGCAGCAGCAGCAGCGGTAGCCATAACAGCAGAGTAAACACAGTGAGGAGCAGTCACACAGCAAGCAGTCCTAACTAATCCTCATGGCTATTTTATTACTGCTGTGTTGTTGCTGGAAGGTGAAATGCACTCCAGGAGAGGATCTTCCTCCTTAGTTAATTCTTCTTAGACATGCCCTCACAGGACCCTCTGACCCCAACACAGACAGGGGCTTCTCTTTTAGTCAAATTCCAGATCCGATCAAGTTGGCAGTCAAGATAAATAGTAACAACAAGGGTTTAGTCTATTTCTGATGACACTGCTCATTTACACAAATAGACACTATGCAGTTTCCTCATATAACAGTTAATTATAGGTCCTGGTACGTAATACCCCTTTCAGGTAGAGAGTTGATATTTGGTTTGATGCATAACAACTACATCAAACTATCCAAACTGCAAAACAGATAGAATTCTTCCCCACTTAATTGCTATATTATGCTCAGTGTTCTGTCTGGTTGCTTCAAATTTGATACCAAAATCAGGAACTAAAGATAGATGATGATCAATCATAATTCTGCCTTCATCAAAGCCCCACATATAAAGCCATTTAACAACTCAGCCTAACAAATACCTACTCCCACATTTTATAGTACCGTGCCTTGGAAATATGTCGAGTGAATGTTCTATTGCTTTTTCCTCTAAAAATATATACTGGGCATTTGTTGCATGTAATGCCATATGGAGAACAAGGAAGCAGCTATAGCATCTGCCTTCATGGAAATTGCAAAATGATAAATTATGTCCTATTAGCAAACAGTTCTGATGGTATTGGTTAGTTAATAATACATTGATGAGATCAGTGCTCCTTGTGATGCCTTCAACTCACAATAACACTACCAGACTTTACTATCTGAGTACTTTAGGGGGGCATCTTACATGCAAACCACATTCCTCAGTAACTGAAAGTACAGATGTCAGGCTGCATAAGGAAGGAATGTCTAAATGTCAGTGTACCCAGGTAGAATAAGTTAAACCATTTTAGATTACATGCTAAAAAATCAAGTGAATATACACTATGAGTTATACATGCAACATTTGGTATATAATAGCGTAGTATATACATTATATATAGTACTCATTGCATAAATATATAGATTTATAATGGCCTACCTTTACTATAACACCATTTGTTTAGATTACATGCCTAATTTCTGTTAGAATGAATATTTTATAATGAGTTGAATAACATTTCTTAACTATTTGTCATCATATATTTCTTCAAGTTAACATTTTTAGAAGACAATTTATCAAATTTTAGGTATACTTATAAATGCACAGAAAGTATTTTTCAGTAGACTAGATACATGTAAATTCTGCTTTCTGGATCTTGTAAACAAAGGCAATATTTGCAAATTTTGACATTAAAGAAAGAAGTATAATCCATCTCTCATAACATGCCTCCATGGAGGATCCAAATGATAATTGGATTAATGGATTCCCAGTGAACTGATAAAAACACTGAAAACAGGGTAAAACAGTACACAGACTGTTTTATGTTAGCTTATGTTAAATTTCTTATTCTACAATAAATATTTTATTCCATAACAGTAGCTTTTTCTACATATGAAGTTTTTGCAGTCATCTTATAGATAAAAGATAAAATAATGGAAATTTCCAGATTTCAGTGTGTGTGTTTGTGTGTGTGTGTGTGTGTGTGTGTGTGTGTGTGTGTGTGTGTGTGTGTATTTCATACCCATAAATAATTCAAGGTTTTAGTGTTTAAATAAACACTCATTGACACTTCTTATTACTTGTATTGTGTTTTTACTAATGTGAATATTAAAAGCTCAAGCTTCAAAAATTTACATACCAGTTATAGAAATATCTGTCACTTGAAATTTTCTGATTGATGGTAGTAGTTTTCTGGTTAAAAAGAAAAATTTTGTGTTCTTAGTTTACTGACAATGTGCTTTTCATTGACTATAACATACTCATTGCAACATGTTTATGTCATTTATTATATTATCTTTCAACTGGATGCATGAATGATAGGAAAAATGTCATACTCTCCTCAGAGATTCACTTCATTCATTGGCTACTCAAATATATTTGAAAATGAACTGCTAGCCATTTTTGTTTTCTTTATTAACCATGCAGGTCCTCCAGGCCTTAGAGGTGACCGGGGGCTCACAGGCCTCCCTGGAATGCGCGGATACCCAGGGGCACCTGGAAAGGCGGGGAGGTCAGGTATTGTAATGCTATGCTTGTTATCACAGAATATGCAAGTCAACATTGGATCATTGATAATGTTTCTAAAATACTCACATAACAAAGAAATTTTCCACATAGAATAGTAGCACTTACATAGTTTACTTTATACTCTAAAATAAGTTGAAAATAATTTTTGCCCATCAGAGGAAAATTCCTATGCTCCAAAAGAAAAAAGTTCTTTTTTTTTTATGACATGACACAGGTCATATCAACACACACACACACACACACACACACACACACACACACACACACACACAATCTATACATTTTATAAGTTCATAGCTCCTTATGAAGAATGCTCTCCACCATACAGTAAGTAGAGTGGAAAGACTATCAAGAAAAAGAAGCAAACAGTATAGTCTTTTGAACACAGTTGGCAAAACCTTGGTAAGTCCCAGTTGAAAAAGTACTTATAACAAAATAAATGGATTTATTTTACTTACAAGTGCATAATAATCAACACTGCACAGCTAACAATCATTATTACCACTGATTCTATGAAAAGACTGGTATTGGATTGTGTTCTTTGTACAACAACATTAGTTGGGAATAAGGTTAGTTTCCCATTTTCAAATCAAAATAATACAAAAAGAATACAGTCCATATTGTTTTTAGCACTTCTAGGTTTATCAGAAAATGTCAAGGAAGGCATACAGTTCTCATACACCCCTCATCAAATACACATCTGTCTTTACTTATAACACCTTGCCTTGATGGAACATTTGACACAAGTATTAAACCAATAGTGGTTCATCATTATTAGCAAAAGTCCATTGAGGACATTGGGGTTCACTCTTTGTGTTCCATATTGTATGAAGTCTGACAAGCGTATATTTTATCTCTACCAGCATTACAGAATAGTCTCTTAATCCCAAGGATACCCTGTGATCCACCTAAATACTATGAACTCTCCACCCAACCTCTACCACCCTTCAGTATGTGAATGGATAAACAAACTGTGAAGAAGGTAGAAAACAGAATCATAATTAGTGAGGAAGAGAAAGGGATTATCAGGTCACAAAATGATGTGGAGAAATCGTGAATGCATATTGCCAACTGAAAGAAGCTGGTCTGAAAATACTAAAACTGGTGATTCTAACTGTGTGCACTTCTGGAAAAGGCAAAGTTATGGAGACAGGAAATACATCTATGGTTGGCAGGTGTCTAGAAGAGGGGCCATTTTGGTTAGGCTGATGATGGTGTATTCTTGGCACTGGGGTCCTCTTCTTTGTAACACTGGTGGAGACACCACTGTATGTAGAGAAACACTGTAGTCATATGACTCTTTCTCATTCCTAAGTATGGAATTCAAGAAGAACTTTTTTTAAATAAGTAAAAAACAAGCAAATTATAATATGATAAAACAACCAAACAAGAAAAAAGAGCCAAAGAAAAAGAACAAGAAAAACATATATACACAGAGACGCATAAAAACCTCAAACTGGAAGGCATACTATAAATACAAAGGACCTGTAAGGTTAAGGAAAAAAAAAAATCCCTGACATTATGAGACAAAGAACTCCCAAAGATGTCATTGAGTTCATTTTGTGTTGACTGTCTCTATTTTTTTTTAAAAAATATTCATTTTTGCATTTTTATGTACGTTGGTGTTTTCCCGGCATGTATGTGTGTGAAAAAACTGATAGACAGATAAATAAATAAATAAATAAATAAATAAATAAATAAATAAATAAATAGGAGGAGGAGAAGAGGAAGAGGAAGGGGAGGAAGAAGAAGAAAAACTTTAGAAAATGAGTTTTATATTGTGGCTCTTTCTCTGTGAAGAACAGAACTGATGAACCATTGATGTCTTTAACCCTCCCCTCCCATTTACATTTTTTAGATCTTTAAACCTATCTTCTTGAACAATCTGAAAATTTGGTAATACTCTTCATTAAGGAGGCATACTCTTTAAACTATAAATGTTGGGGTCTTTTGTGTTACTTAATTATTTTGGCAATTTAATGGAACCTGAAATAATTCACTCAGAACTAAGAAGTACATTTACTGATATAAAAGACAATTGCATTAGTAACTTGAGAATTAGTAGTTATCTTCATAGACACTGGTAAGAAATATGTAACATTTCATTAATGCTAAATAGTAAATGCTAATAATAAAACATCCAAACCATTTCAATTGACATAAGATATGCATTTTAAGTGCTTCAAGTATCATTCTATTTTATAGAATGTATTGCAATTTTTTTAGTTCGGTCAATTAGGGGCCAAAAATCTTCTCTAAGAGATACATAAAAATATTCCAATCAGAAATGAAGACAAAATATAGAAGTTCAAAATGAATAAAGTAATTCATATTAAAACCCTAAAATTAACTTTAAAATTATTGTGCCATGAAATTAGGTTAACAGTACAAGCTCAAGTCACACAAAATCTCAGCATGGAATAGGGTAGATGGATACAAAGTCTCATCATCACTGGATAAATAGCTCTTGTAATTGATATCTCCTGGGACAGGGTAGTAGAATCTCTTCAAGGGTATGACCCTGGGTATATCACCTAGGTTCCACAGCAGGTCCCACATCCAAGAATATCTGGGCAACACAAATGGACTTGATGTGTTAGAAAGAAAAAGAGGACATGAAGTTGGGAAGGTGGGGAGGTGGGGCGTGGATCTAAGAGGAGTTGGGAGAGGGAGGTGAGTATGGTCCAAAAATGTTGCATGAAATTCTCAAAGAAATAGTGTTATAAAAGAGAATGAGATGAGTTGTCAAAGTCCTTTTCGGTCATTTATTGAGTATAAAATCATAGACATCAGAGTCTAGCTAAGGTGTGAGAAATGAAAAACTAAAAGCATAATAGAAACTGCAGAAGCTGTTGTCTCATAAGAAAAACGCATTTTGAATATTGTGTCTATCTTTCAAAGCAAACGTGCAATGTAAAGAATTATTTTTCAGCTCCTGGAAGAATTAACCTTGGCTTTAAAAAGCTTAAAGGCCATTCTCAGTCCCATACTTAGTATGTGACTGAAAACAAATTTTTAAAGTCATTGATAATTTTCCATAGTCTGTGCTTCTTAAGCTGCATCTTCTGATACAGTTCAAATGGAAAGTTAAAGGGAAATCTAAAACATTAACCAGGATTTTGTCTTTGAACCAAATGGCACTGGAGTCTTTCCTGCGCTGATGTTAAAAGACACTCCTTGCAAGATAGGTATCTGATACCTGCTGGAAGAAGAATTAATGGTCAAACAGGACCTCTCTCATGAGATGAAATTGTCACCATAGAAATCTCCTCCTAGTGCCAAATAATTATCCCTCAGACACCACTATTTACAGTGGAACCAAGAACAAGGTAGCAAACCATTTACAAAGACCAATGGTCAACATTTCCACACTTACTGATAAGTTTGAGTCAGTGTTCCTCATGTAACACTTGGCCTACATCCCTGTATAAATGGGTGCGGAGTCTCATATTCAAATGTGATTAGACTAGAGGATTGAGGGACCATGGAACACTTAGGAATGGAGTCATCAGAATTCCATCAGCCCCTGAACTTATAAAGTTCTAAACTATGTTCTGTCAGAAGGAAATAAATAATGAGACATAAAAATAAATTTTTAATGGGAAAAAAATAAAGATTCAGGAAGAGTTAGAAGATCCTGGCTATTGAAGGTGGTAAAAGGTAGAGTCAGATAGAAGAAAATGAAAAATAATATGCAAAAATTATACTACATTTCAGTTTTGCATGTTTTGTGAAAATGGGACATATTATAATTTTGTAAATAATTTTGGATGCTGTAATACAAAAAGTATAATGGGGTTTCAAAGGTGATCATTATTATCAGCATGGCATGATTATTACGTTTAACTAACTATAAATTGCTATAAATTGATATCTTATTTTGTGTTGTCCCATTTCCATTTAAAGCAAGTTCTGTGGAGCTTGAGACCGTGACTCAGTGGTACAGCATGTGTTTAGTACACACAGGCCTTGGGTACAGTCTCCAGAACTCCAAAATGGAAAAGAACAAAGAGAGATTCAAAGAAAGATGAGTCCGAGAAAGAGAGTGAGATACCAGCATTTTGTGTTGACTAATTTTTTTTCTTTTGCTGTTTTTTTTTTTTTCCTAAGGATATCCTGGACCAAAAGGCCAAAAAGGAGAAAAGGGGAGTGCAGGCATATCAAGTAAGTTTATGACTTCTTGTTTCCTGTGTCAGTTGTTGTTTTTTTTTAAATAAAGTTAGATTGTGATATTAGTGGTGTAGGCTTGAAACAAATGTTGAGGGATTTAACATTGATCTGCAGAGTTTCTGTAGAAGCTAGCCACAGTTTTCTCCAAATAAAACATGCTAATTGGAGTAAAACAAATAGATTAGATTACATGTCTCTTTCAAACTCATTATGCACTTATAGTCTGTTTTTCTTCTTTTTTTGATGAGCACTATTTTCTAAAGAAAAAAATCACACAGAAAATTGTCCAATTTTCAAGTCAATTTCTACCCACTGAAGGGAAATCAAGCCTACGAATAGAAACAATCACAGTCCCCTTACACACTCATGAAAAGCTCACATATAGACACATGGACAACCTGAAGACCTTGACAGAGTAATTCTCTGGCAGCTAGGGCTTTTGTTTTGTTTTGTTTTTACTAAAACCTTGTAAATGCCATAGTCTATATCCAAGACGTTCCAACCTTCAGAGGAATAGTTTTCACATCAGGGAGCTTCATTAATAGAATGCAGACCTCTTGGTGAAACGCAGAAAACCTGGGTCTCAGACATTAAAAGTTACACATCAGCTGAGATGGTGACCATTTGCTAGGCCACAAGTAATTTGTTATGTGTATAAGATGAATATACTTTAATGTAATCATTGTGAAGAGGAAAGAAGACCCCGCTTGAGTTTTTAAAATCAAAGAGCGCCTCCCTGTCTTCCAAAGAGAGTCTATATGTGAAATGTATGTTGTGACCATGGCCAGTGTGAGCCACAACCACACCCTCCTCGTTCAGGGCTCTGTTTTAGACAGATCATGGTAAAGTCTTTATTAACAAAACCCTGATGGCTTTACCTGTGATAATTTTTTTTTTAAAAAAAATATAGAATTGGTATTTCTTTGTTGTCACAAAAAAAGTTACTTTAACCTAATACCATGTACAGGTGGCACAATTAGACTGTATAAGATTATGACTGGGATGGGCCACTGGAGTCTAATTCAACTGTGATGCTTTCTGAGTTGAACAACACGTAGGAGTGGTGGACTCCTCAGTACTCTTGTGCTCCCTCCACTGCTCCTATCATATTAGGGCAACATAAACACATTCCCTTGTCCCTGCTTTTTTTCAGGTGGCCACTTCTCTGCCGAATGCCTGTTAACAGCCCTTTCTTCATCTTCTTTTTCTTTCATTCCATATAATTTCAGTTGATCTCTTCCCAGCCCCCAGCCCTTAAGTCTCTGTGTATCTTTGTCTACGTCTTCATCTTCTCACACTTTTATATAAAGTATCTTGATCTCATCTCATTTCCCTTGAGGCTCTCTCAGAGCTTCAAAACGTTGACTGTAGTTGAGTGTGGCACATAAGGAACTTTGCTACTTTTAACCTATATATTGAAAATCCACACTGCTTTCTGTTTCCTGCAGCTTCTAATAATTTTTCGGCTAGGTCTAGAAATTTACATTACAAACTTAGATGGGTATTTTGGAGTTTGAGTACTTTCTTTGAGAAAGCCATAAGAGCTATTTCTGTGGATGAGTGTATACAGCCTCTTGATTCTTCTACATGTCTCCCTAGAGAGAATGTAAAGCAATTCTACAATACTCCAAAAGAAGAAATAATAATATGCCTACAATCTAACATAAAGGGTCCCGGTTTTCTGTGTTTAATATGCAATCACATGTGCTTTGGCCTCTTTTCTCTCAGTGATAGACATTTTTCTAAATTACAGAGACACCACAATTACCACAAATTAGCAATTTATTTCCCTACTCTTCAATGGTCAATACATTTTGCTTGCTTTGGTTTGGCTTTAGTAATCAATGTTACATTCACATTTTTATTTTGTGAGGATACTGTTAAATATAGGATTTGCTAGAAGTAGAATCAATAGTTCAAATGTTATATGCATTTTACAATGAGGTCTTGCAAATGCCTCCAAAATGGGTCTACAGATTATTCTGTATGTAATTACTCAATTGTCCACATTTTAAAGATGATCTTTAAATTTCGTATTGAATTAATTCAACGTACATTTTAATAATTCAGGCATTATTTAAACATAATAAAGTAATCCTGATTTCCTCTTTTACACATGTGTCAGGATCAGTGTAACTCCCTGATCATATTGGGACAAGATCCTTTTAAGATCAGGTGGGTTGGGCAGAGCACTCCACTGTCATCTCCTTAAAAGGCCTTTGACCTCTGGACAAGCCATCAGCACAACTGACTTCCGGGATCTTTTTGCACGTCCTTCAAAATGAACTTGGTTCCTGTGTCATATCATGCCTGGCTTCTAAACATGGCTTCCTCTCCTGACTCTGGGTGCAGCTCGGGCACCCAAAGCCATATGTACACCATCATGCACTCTGCTCCAGTGACCCTCATCCCCTGTCACCCTTCACCTCGATGTACCCATGAGCTGACTAGTGGGATGTTCCTGCCTCCTTCAGACCTTCTACTGTTCACTCACCTAATCTTGTGGAATACAATTTAACCCATTTGGTTCTAAAAGAAACTATATGGATACTGATTAACTATGGGTTCTTTAAGCTCAAGAAGAAAGTCTATCCATTGTGTATGTTTCAGAGCCAGACATAACAATAAATATATTTTCTCTAACCTTAGAGATATAAATATACCAGTTATAAACAAACCAGAGAAAACTATCCTAGGAAAATAATAGGGCTGTACAGACATTGAGAGGAGATAAATAATCTTAGTGCCTTTGTATATTAAAAATAACTTTATTTTATTGCGTGTTTCACTTTCCTACCTTATTATTCTCCAAATCAAATCATATATATATATATATATATATATATATATGAGAGAGAGAGATTAAAGCAGAATTTGAATAATTTCTTCAATATATTTGAATGAGAAACAAACCTAATACTTCAGTAATTGCCTATTCATTTCAAACAAAAACATTTTGATCTTGAAAAATCAATGTTTATTTTTATTCTATAAAGCTCTTTACATTTACTTGCATTTTATGTTTTAAGTGCATATACTGGAAAATAAATATTGAAATTTAAGTGGAGATATTTTGAATAAGTCATAAAAAGAGAAAATGCAAAACAAGAGAAGGAAAGAAAAGAAAATACAGGAATAATAAAGATATAAGATCCCATGTTGTTTTCATGTTGCTGCCTCTCCATGAGCTAACAGAGCATATTTCCCAGGATTTTCCTTTCTTTCATGTTTTAACACTAAACCCTAAGATCCACAGCATGAAGATAGCAGCAGACTTCTAATTGTATGCCTGTGTATCTCACTTTTTCCATTTTCTGCTCTGCCGAATGATATCACTTCCTACCTCACAGGGTTGTTGTGGGGACAAAAGTATGTGTGTGAAGATGTTCTGTAAAATCATAAAGACCTATAAAGTCATAGGAATGGTTCACAGCAGTCTTACTGAACATAACAGCTGTTCTTTCCTGTTTTTATACAGACATGTTAAATCTCTAATCATATTAGGGCAGAAAGAAAAAATGGAAATGCCAGGAGCCAAGTATATGTCTCCAGCAAAAAGAGAGATGTTAGAGAATAAGACAAGATTTTTTTATGTTAGATGGAAGAGCAGTGCAAGTGTGCCCAGATCACAAATCAGTGAATTTGTCTTAGCAAAGCAGAAGAGCATTAGTTATAAGTAAGTGAAGCATCTAAACCAGAGGCCATGTCTGTTGACAGAGATCAGAACAAAATGTCAAATTAATAAAACAAAAATCTGGACTTCAAAACACTTGTCTGAGCCCACAACATTTGTTGAGAAAGTTCTGAAAAGGGTGGCAATGAATTGGTATTGTCACTAGGTAGTAGGGTGCTTCTGTGCTTGCATGCCACCAAGACATAATCAAACCTGGTCCTGAAGGAAAAGAAAAGGGAATGAGCAAGTGATCATGATCCTCTGCAGTATTAACAGACCAGTTATTCTGTGAAAACATCTAGAGAAAATTGGATTTGTGCCTGTGGCTTAATTGGCCTGTGCTGTGGAGTATGTGTGACTCTTTTCTTGTGCCAGAAGGCAATGCTGTGGACAATTTTGGCTCCATACAGAACAGCCCTGGTCCCAGATGTGCTGGCAGACAAACTGTAGGAATTCAGATCTCAAGTCATCTATCTTCCAAAGCTAAGCATGGATGGTAAAGTGTGGAATACTAACCTGAACTTCTCACATTAATAGAGAAGACTCTGTGTTTCCTTTTAGATAAAAGTAGATTCTGAATGCCCCATTCAAAGGCATCAATCATCCCAACTTTTATAATGTAAAATGAACAGTGGCAAATAGTACGTTCTGTTGCCATACTAACTAGGAAGGGTGTTTTTGTCAAGCAAGGGAGCCATGTGAGCAAACACTGCGAGGCACCATCTGAAAGAGTCCTAATGCTTATCTGTGGTGTGTCAGCATGCTCTGGTCATGATCAAGAAGAGAGATAGAATGTGAATTTTCAGTGTCTTAGTCTGAAACTTGTACAATCATATGACAAAAAAAAATGTATTTGCTTTGATTTATACCGAGAACTCAACTCAATCATAAATAAACTTCTGATCTTTCTCAAAACATTCAGTTGATTAAAGTCAAAGCCTTCTTTTCCCATCACTAACTAATTATAATAATGACCATTCAGAGGATACTGACTGTGTACCGGGTACTTGTGATGCGTTTTCATATCTAATATGCAGACAGCCATTGGGGTAAGTGCTGTTAGCATCACTGTTTAATGAGCTGGAATCCAAGGGTAACTGCTAATAAAGGAAAACGGCACAAATTCAAACTCATGCCTGCCAGTTTCCAAATCCTCATGCCTCTGTGAAACGCTTCCACACTAGTCAAATATTCTATACATGTAAATATTACAAATATTTAATATGGAGGAGTTGGAGGTGGAAAAGAGAGAGAGAATATTTGTAATTAGCAGTTCTATTTTCCAGAATGAGCCTTATAATTTGAAGATTCCCCCCCCCAGAAGATAAAAATCTATAGAGTCAAATTCCCCGAGTGTACTATTGAGTCATCTTTGTTTATGTTTCCACCATCGTAACTACTGCACATGGCGCCTGCATTCTCTCCCTCAAGTCTATTACTCAGACACATTGTCTTCCTGGAAGTGCTCTCGAGACTTCCATTATCACTAATGAGAGTTACTTACATGCGCCTTGGGAAAAGCTACCTGCTAATAGTCTACCTTTATTTCAGTAACTGACTCAGTTTTCACATTTTCGAGTATCACTGGCTGCTGTGATGCCTCTTTGCACTTACTGCGTTTTCTTTCTTTCTTTTTTTTTTTCAAGTTCCAGAGTGTACTTTTCACAGTAGCACCATTTATGAGCCAGCAAAACGAGATACATTATACCAGAGCAGGAATGGCTCTCGGTAAATTAGACAAATGCTACCCACTTTTACGACAATTGCATTTTATCTATACCTCCCTATGATTCTCCCAATTGTAAAAAAAAAAATACAGCATTCCCCTAAATCAGTACATGTGGTCCTTAATAACACTACTTATATGTCTTGTAAATAGAAACATATTTAAATCAGCAATGGATAAGTAGTTAGCTTGTCCTGATGAGTCCATCTCACCAAGGACTCTCACAGCCTGAATTTCACCAGATACAATTAAAAAGAAAACATCAATATAATTCTATCCCATCTTTTTACCAACGTATTTTAAGTTCATCCCGTGTGTACAGGGGTTCAGAAAGAGAAAAGAGATGAAGGATGTGGTTCATCTTTCCATAACCTCTGAGGAACAAAGAATCTCCCCACACCCCATCTCTAGTTAGGAGCCACTGTCTTCTGTGTTTTGGTGGGAAATTCTGCTTTATAGGAACACAAGATCATCTATTTTGCTTGCATTAAACACCTTATAAGAATAGGCTTGCAGAGTATCACTTGGTCTCCTCAACCCGTCCTGTCTAGAAGTGTGCTACTGTTAGACACTTAATCTCAAGTTCAAATCCCTAGAACAACAGCTAGCTTGACTGCACAGGGCATGTCCAAGGGCATCTCTGCCACACTCAGATGAGGGCTCGGGCTGTACATTTTTCACCGTTCCTTAAGGTACTGAAATTACTCTCACTTTATTCTTCCTGTAAATCCATACACCCTGATGAATATACTTCAGAGTAAAATATGTGAATTCTAGGAGTTTCACAAAGCAATTTAAAGACTGCTAATGTGAATTGTGTAGTAAAGTGACTGTGTTTCCTAATGATATTTTGTGGAAGTCTTAATTTTCACTTCTTTGGGATGCTGACAAGTATAACAGAACACAAACATTCAGTTTTCTATGCACAATATTTTCATAAAACTCCATATGGTTTAGAGAATGAGTCATTAGTCTCTAGTAAAATCATTAAATGTTCTCTTCTAAACTATCATCTAAATGAAACTCTCTCCTGTTACAGCCACGTTTTTTTTAATTTTAATTTTTAAAGTATTTTATTAGTTCTCTGAGAATTTCATGCAATGTATTTGGATCACTTTTACCCTTCTTTCTCCAAACTCTCCCCAGATCTACCCCTGCTTCTGTACCAACCTCAATTTTGTGTCTTTTAAAAATATATCAAGACCGCCGGGCGGTGGTGGCGCACGCCTTTAATCCCAGCACTCGGGAGGCAGAGGCAGGTGGATCTCTGTGAGTTCGAGGCCAACCTGGACTACCAAGTGAGTTCCAGGAAAGGCGCGAAGCTACACAGAGAAACCCTGTCTTGAAAAACCAAAAAAAAAAAAATATATATATATATATATATATCAAGACCAATTAGTGTCACCCATATATTCTTGGATGTGAGCACTGGAGCATGGTCAACTTACCGGAAGAAACTGACTCTCTCTGTCTCTCCCAGCAGCTATCAGTTACCAGTAGCTCCTTAACTAGGGGTGGGACTTCTCGCCCGGCTCCTCCTCTCAGGCCGTGACTTGGTCTGGCTTGAGCGCAAACCGGTCTTGTGCCATCCGTCACAACCACTGTGACTTAGGTACAGCTATCCTGCTATATCCAGAAGACACTGCTTCCTGGTAATCATCGACCACTGCTAACTCTTACACTCTTCCCATCTCCTCTTCCCCAACCATCCCTGAGCCCTCGCTCCATTTCTGATAACCACACTAACACCCATAGGAATACAACTTGTGCATCAAAAGAACAGGGGTGTTCCAATCACAGAAAGCAACTGTTGGAATACATATTATTAAGATTTACTAAGAAACCTAGTAGATTCTTAATGAATATTTTGAAAATTTAAAATCAGACATTATTTTAGCTGGCAGGAAATCTGGCTGGGGCTTTGGAGAGTAAAGTAAATGCTGTGCCACTGAGTTGCATTATCTGTTACCTAATTTTCTCATGACTTGGACAAAACCACCTTATACAAAGAAGGGTTTGCTTTGGCTCACAGTTCAAGGGTATCATGGCAGGTAAATTCTGGAGTTAGGAGCATGAGAAAGCTGGCCAGGTCTTCACCATTAGGAAGCAGAGAGACACATGTTGGTGCTGAGCTTACTCTTCTCCTTTCTGTTCACTTTGGGAACCCCAAAACATGTGTAGGTGTCTCCCACAGTTAGGGTTGGTCTTCCTATCTCATTTGACACAATCCAAAAACTCTTACAGACATCCCCAAAGGTTTGTTTCCCATGTGATTCCAGTTTCTGTCAAGCTGACAATGTTAACCATCATCTCAAACCCTTAAATAAAAATAAATCCATTTATGTATGTCTTTTTGAGATAAGATTCACTAGATAGCCCAGTTTAGCCTCAATATTGTAATCCTCCCGTCTTGGCTTCCTGCTTGCTGGGATTAAAGGTACTCCACCACACTATGCCTAGCTAAAAAGCAATCCTTTTTAGAAAGTTTTTGAGGCATTCAAAGCACAACCTAGCAGATGTGGCACCCTTATTTCCTATCTAAAAATGAAAGAAAATCTTGTTCTTTCAAGTTTCCCTTTTATTTGTTCTCTTATATATGAATACTCAAACACAAAATATAAGTGAAAACGGGGAAAGTATAACATGTTATTGTTCTTGCACTGTCAGAATAAACTGATTGGTCTTATTCATGGTTCTGGAGATTAGAAGTCAAAAACTGAAGTGCAGAAAGGGTGGGTTTCTGGGGAGACCTCTCTCGGCTTGGCGTGCCAATGGCCATCATCTCACTGCAACCTCAAAGGCAGTATGGCCTCTGAGTATCTTGTGATTTTTCCACTCCTAAAGCACCAACCCTATTGAACTAGGGCTCTGCATTTATCAAGTCTTTAAGCCTGAATTCCTATGTAAAGGCCATAGCTCTAAACACAGTCACACTGGAGGTTAGTAGTTCACTACATGAAATTAGGAGGAACTTACGATAGTCCTAACAAAAGATAGGGAAACATGACCCTCATCCTCTGCAACAATGGAAGAGTGAATTAGTATTGACACTGTGTCTTTGAGTCATCTTATGTCTGCCTTTCTACAAAGCTAGGAAGAGAGTCTTTCGGGTCACTTTCTACCAGTTTATCCTTGGAGGAAGCCTAAATTATACCTTAAAATTTTAAGTCATGTTGATGCTAAAACTTACAAGAACATATTCACTTGTATTTATGTTTTTACTAATTTGGAAACTTTACATTTCAGTGATGTTCTTTAATATCATGCCATTTCATGAAACAAAAACTATTACCCAGAAAGTGTCACTTGAATATACAATAACAAATTTTTAAAAGGTTCCTGTCAAACAGAATGACCTTGGCAATCACTTAGGTTCTTCCTCAAATAATTACCACCAATATGTTTGTGCGAGCAGTCAAGTGGGAAGAGAATGGTGGTACAAACATGTAGTTCCAGCATTTGAGAGCCTGGAGCAGGAGGATTGCAAATTTGAGGTGAGCTTAGGTAATATAGTGAGAGTCTTGTTTAAAAGCAACAACGAAACAAACAAAAAACTGAAGTGAAGGAGGCTGGGGCAGGAGGATCTCTGTGAGTTCAAGGCCAGCCTGGTCTATAGAGACAGTTCCAGGACAGCCAGGGCTATATAAAGAAATCCTGTTTAGAAAAATCAAACAAACAAAAACAAAGACAAAACAAAGAAGCAAAAAACAAAACAAACAAAACCAATCTCCCCCATACCTGAAATGAAAAGTAACAAAATGTAACAAAACTTTCTCACTAAAGAAACTAATGTATTAATTCACATAAGACTTCTACAAGATGAATTTTACTTCATGAATGGAATGATGCAGGATGTATTAGGGTTCTCTAAAGGAAGAAAATTAATGGGATGCAGATATAGATCCTTCTTACACACACACACACACACACACACACACACACACACACACACACACACACACGTGGGCTTTAAAATAGTAATATCTCAAAGAATTGCATCAGTGATCTGAGAATCTGATAGTCATTCTGACCTTAGGGCTGGGTGTCTCAGCTTTTGGAACAGTCTCACAATGGCTGTCTCTCACTGGGGAAAAGGCAGATAAGCCAGTAGTTGCCCATTCTACAAGGCTGGGTGCCTCCGTTGTCTCAATCTGGCACTGAAAGCCTGAAGATTTCCATGG